TTCACCGGCACCGCTCCGCCAGGCCAAATATAGCGTCCTGCCTCGGCCCACCGCAGGGCAGGGGAGGTGGGGGGAGCCACGCAGACCCTCTCCTGCGCAGAGCCGGAGCTGGGCTCCACGGGATGGGGCAGCCGTGATGGGGATGGGGCAGAGCAAGGCAGGCTTCCTCCTCTCCCCAGGCTCCTGTCCCAAAACCAGCTGGGCTCCCAGGAGGGTACATCTGTCACATCCTCCCCACATCTGGGCAGAGGCTGCTGCAGTCAGGGTCGATGCAAGCTCCTTTATGTCATGTCTTTTCATTCACAGTGTCATGGGCCAGGGGAGTTGCGGGGTGGCAGCTACACGTGGTGTTCACCGCTGAGAGCTGAGCAGAGGCTGTGGTCTCGCTGCTGTCACGCAGCTGCAGGTAAGAGCCTGGGGCCGGTCCCAAGGGCAGGGGTGGGCAGGCTGTGCTGGGGCGCCTGCATTAAGACATAGGGCAGCTCCTCGCTGGCTCTGTAGGACTCAGCAACAGCGTGGGAGCAATCAAGGTGCACAAACCCACTTGTGTGCTCTATGAGCCCAGCTACAACGAGCCCCTGGCTGCCGCGGCACCCGCCCCCGAGTGGGCGCACGCCTCCCCTCTAACAGCCGAGCCGTGCCAACGACCGGGGTCATGCTCCCACCACATTAACAGCCCAACATTTACTCAGAAAACTTTATTGTATCAAAAAATCCCACCTTACAAAAGTGCAATGAAGAGTTGCTCTGGGCGCTGTGCCTGCCGCACAGCAGGGAGAGCGGGGCCAGCAGCCAGCCCCCAACGCCCCGGCCGCAGCCAGAACAGGCAGCCGCGTTCCCCTAACACCAGCATCGCAGCAGTAGCGAGGGAGCTCTGCCACACCAAGATGCTGGCATGGAGGAAATGTGCTGTGGGCAGCAAGAGCCTCTGCCACCAGCAAATGATGGCCAAATGCCCCAGGGAGCAGGGCAGCAGCACCAGGTCCCCATCTCCATCCCCGGGCCAGCCACAGGACGCACTCGCTCCCGCCTATCCCGAGTGACATCCCGGTGCAGTGCAGGAGAGGGACCAGCTCTCGAGCACTTTCTTCCCAGGTGCCACATCCTCACCCCCTTTAAGAACTCTGTGTGTGGGATAAAACATTGTGAGTTAACAAGAAACTGAGCAACGTGACGCTTTACAAGAAACCGAGGGGGAATTCCTTCCCCTGCACCATCCTTCTGGGATGTCACCACGTGTCCTCCTGCTCTGTGCACAGCTCCCCAGTGTCACTGGTTCTAGCCGTTGCCGGTCAGGAGTCGGACCAGTATGCCCACCAGCAGGACAGCGATGGAGGCAGCAGCAGCCAGCACGCGGCGGATGATCAGGGCCCTCCAGACCACAGCGGGAGGAGCAGGGACGTCAGCAGGCTCCTCTGGCGTGATGAGCTGCTGGCCAGGTTGCCTCTCACCTCCCACAAAGCTCTCGGGCAGGACCACGGTGACCACGGTGTCTGTGTCAACGGAGATGTAATCTGTGTGATGGAGAGGCGAGTGCTGCAGCGAAGCTGAGCTGCAAAGTCAGGGGATGCCAGCCTGATGGTGCACAAGCCCTGGTGCCAGACCTGGGGGGTCCCTTCCCAAGGCTCAGGGACACGCCGCAGCAGAGTGGCAGATACTCCCAGGTAAGGCAGACACTGTCTGGCAGTGCAGGCTCTTCCCTGGAGCAGCCAGGGTGGTGACAGGGGGAACAAGGTCTCTTCTACCCCATCGCTAAGTACAGGAGAAGTGCCACTGGCCTGGGACCAGCACTGGACACTCTGCTCTCTCCAGCCACCTGGGCCTGCAGGACAGACAGGGCTGCCATGGCCGTGAAGGAAAGGAAGGGCTGGGTGGAGAATTCGGGGTCCCTCCCTGCCGTGAGGCCGGGTTACATACCCACAGCAGATGTTGTGTTAGCAGCCGTGCCATTGGAGTTCACATCTTCCAGTTGTTTCTTCAGCCCGGCTCGGACTTGAGCCTGAAAACACACAGCAGAGTTGTTCTTCTCAGAGCAAGGGTGTCCTGCCCAGCCAAGAAACCTCAGCCTCCTCCCGCCGCCCTCCCAAAGCAAGCGTGCTCAGCACCAGATTGCTCCCACACTACAGGAGAGGGACAGATCCCTGGGCTGTGGCATTTTACTGGGACAGGAACTCACCAGACACCATCTAAGAGTTACTGGAGAGAAGCACCCGGCTCACCTCTTCTGCAGCTTTCTTCCAATCCATGCGCACGACAAAAGCCGAGAAGGAAAGGGCTTGCAGAGAGATGCAAATGATCATCCCCACCCACAAACCTGCAGCACAGAGTTATTTCAGGGGGGGGCTTGAGGAACGCCTGCTTTTGCCAGCCACTGCCAAAACACCCAAGGACTTCTTCGGTGGGGTCAGGTTATTGCCCCACGTCTAACCCAGCCTCGATGGGAGAGCTGCCCTGATGGGCAGCGAGAGGAGAGCCAGTTCTGGGCTCCCCAGTTCAAGAAGGATGAAGAGCTACTGGAGAGAGTCCAGCGGAGGGCTACAAGGATGGTGAGGGGACTGGAGCATCTCCACTACGAGGAGAGGTTGAGGGAACTGGGCTTGTTCAGCCTGAAGAAGAGAAGGCTGCGAGGGGACCTTATAAATGCCTACAAATATCTGAAGGGTGGGTGTCAGGAGGATGAGGCCAAGCTCTTTTCAGTGGTGCCCAGTGACAGGACAAGGGGCAATGGGCACAAACTGAAGCACAGGAAGTTCCGTCTGAACATGAGGAAGAACTTCTTCCCTCTGAGGGTGACGGAGCACTGGAACAGGCTGCCCAGGGAGGTTGTGGAGTCTCCTTCTCTGGAGATATTCAAGACCCACCTGGACAACGTCCTGTGCAGCCTGCTGTAGGTGACCCTGCTTCGGCGGGGGGGTTGGACTAGATGACCCACAGAGGTCACTTCCAACGCCTACCATTCTGTGATTCTGTGATCATAGTACCAGGTTATAGGGAAATACAGAGAACCAGTGAAAATATTGAGAAGGTATACTAAAAATATGGCTGAGTGCTGATGATGTTGGTCAGAAATTCCTCTTGGAGCCAAGTCAACTAGTAGTGAAATTGATTTTGCTCTGGTGGAAATTGGAATAAACCACTTCCAGTCCTAACATGGACAATTCATTGGGGATTTGGTGGAAAACCTCATCCATTGCAATTCTTTCAGGTGCTGTGGAAGGTATCACCCCGGGAGCTCCGGGCTACGTCCCGGCCCGGGGAACCCACAGCACCGTCCCGCAGAGCCAAGAGGGACCAAAGCCACATCAGAGCAGTGCAGGGCTCCTCTCGTTCCAGCTGCGGACCCCACGGCTGCAGAGCCATTTGCAGACACCCAGAGGGGTGCCAGCAGACCCCACAGTGCTTTCTGCACTGCCATGGTCCCTCTCCCAGGGACACAACAGGAGGAAACAGGCTGAAATTATTATCTAACAGGTTGTACGAGCACCGCTGCTATGCTGTGAGTAGCCAGCATCTCTGAAGGTCCAGCCTTCACTGCTCTGACAAGCTGAAGCCTTGCCGGGGGGGAAAAAGGGGAGAAAGACCTGGGTTGCTCTGCAGCAGTGCCAATGGGTGCCTACAAGCACAGGGGACACAGAGGTGCTACAGGCAATGCAAGCAGCTGCCTTTACCGTTTATCTGTTTGCTTCTCTGCATCGATTTAACAGATCAAGAAAGAGCTGGAGGCAGCTTTGCACTCCCCACTGCACCCCAGCCTGCAGGGAGGGATCGCTCCACATGCTGGAATACTCACTGCTGCTGCATCGAACAAGTGGAACGGAGCAAAGATGATCATCACTTTGGACACCAAGATAACGATCTCCCTGTTGGGAAGATGTACGTACTGGTCAGGGAGAGCAGCGCAGCCTGGTCCCAAGGGGCTCTGGTTCTGACACCTCTCCCTTGGCCAGCTGCAAAGCCTGATCCCAGCCCACGAGACTCGAGCGGATGCGTGCAGCTTGGGTACCACCACGGCACAGTCCCAGCGTCAGCAGCATCCATGCTGCCCAGTGACACTGGGAAGTGGGGAGGAACCTGTGAGGAATGTGGTTGCCAGATGGAGGTTCACAAACTCTGTCAGCAGGTTCTGAGCAGCTCCTGGGACATAAATCACACCCTCCAAGAAGGTACTAATACTCAAAAGCAAGCTGTTAACCCACTTGTCATTGGTGAAGATGTATCCCACCACGTCCTTCAGGGTTCCCAATAACGTCGCAACCACCACAGCAAAAACTCCTGAAAGAAAAAGAAATAGTCAAATTGCTTGCCTCAAGAGCAGCACGTCTTGCTCCTTTATTCCCCTCTGCAGGGCCCGGGCTGACCTGCGCACAGCAGGGCAGTAATGCAGGAGGTCTTGGCTTGCACCACGTCCCCCGATCCCAAGGCATTGCCCACTCTGACGCTCGCAGCCACGCTGAAGCCCAGAGGCACCTGAGTAGCAGGAGACAAGGAGGAGGTGAGTGGCAGAGTCCACAGCAATTTTCTTTTCCCCAGTAGGGAATCTGGGGCAAACTGGCATTGCTGCAGTAAAGGGATTTTCCACCTGCAGCACACCCCTGAGAGCCATCGCCTGCCTGGTACCGACTCCTGCTTCCCACCCCATGCTTCCCTCCCCAGCCTTGATCTGCAGGGCCATCGTTTTGGAGATCCTCCCAGGCTGATGTTGGTGTAATGCACCCAGCCCTTACCATGTATGCCGCAGAGGAGAGCTCGTAGATGACGGACTGCGCGCCCAGCTCCACCACACTGAGCAGCCCTGCAAAAGATTCATCACCTCCTTCATTAGCTCAGAATTAAACTCCTCCTTTGTGACAAGAAGGCAGTGACTAGAGGGTCCCCATGTAACACAGGCAGCATCCTGCAGAACCAATCCTGCAGGCGAGGCGGCTGCTGGCAGGAGGTGCTCTGGGGACGCACTCAAGAGGCAACCACCAGAGCAGGCATGGCTGGAAGATGACCTGAACCAGAGGAGAAAAGGATCTGGACTCACCTGCCAAGAAGCTCCCGATCTCAAAGGTCCACCATTCAATGCACATCATGAGCATGCCGGGCACTGCCAGCCGGATGAAGGAGCCCCAGTCCAGGAGGCAATCCCTGGTCCAACCTGCAGCGAGGAGGGGAAGCAAAGGTTATCAACAAGAATGCACTTGGGGGGCTACAACAAGAGCCTTAGGGTCATTGCTGCAGCATCTACCCACGGTGAGGGGATGGTCATCCCTTTGTAAGACCTACACCGTGAGTGCTGGTGACAGTGCCAAATCCCCAGGGCTAAATGCTGGTATTTTGAAGGATTCAGCTATGAACAGTACCTCCCCAGGTCTCCACGTGGATCTTCTTCCACCACACATAAAGGAAGAGCAGAATGGCCTGGGTGTACTGAGAAACTGTGTTAGCCCAGGCAGAGCCCCTGGGAGAGAGACAGGCAGATTACAAATTACATCCTCCTCCACCACCTCTGCAGCTACTGCAGGAGAGACCTGGTGGCCCCCGCAGAAGCCTTGCTGCAGATATGGGTCAGATCGCTCCAGCCTTATCTTTTCAGTTTGGTTCACTGGGGGCAGAGGACAGCAGAACTGGGCACTCGAGACACATCCCACAGCCCTGGGCAAACCCCTGCACCCGAGGAGAGGCTGTCACCGCCTCTGCTCACACTTACACCATGCCCAGCTTCAGCGCATATAGGAAGAAGGCGTTCATGGCCACATTGAGGATGTTGGCTGCAATCCCCGTCAACACCTGAGGCAAAATGATCGCCTGGAAGCCAAGGAGAGACTTTGGAGTTTGCTTCCCCAGCACTCCCCAAGCCCCCATCCAGCGAACACAAGGAAGACCTTCATCAATGTCCAAGGAGAAAGCCCAGAAGGCAGCTCCTGTTTCAGGTAAAGCCGTTAGACATGCAGAAGGCAGCATGCAGGGCTCAGGAACTGGTGCAATCAACTCAGTGCGGAGTTGTGAGGTAGCAATGGGGAAATGGAGCAAGCTAAGGGTTCCCCCAAGCTGCTCCTGCCCTGCAAGTCCAGCTGAGGGCTGTGCATCACATGTTCCTCAGCCCAGCTCTCCCCAGGACAGGATGAACTTAGATCCTCAGCTTCATCCATGTGCCTCGGAACACCTTTGATCTACAGCCCAGCACCTGGTTAGTTATGCAATACCTGGCTTAGTAAATATCTTGTCTGCAGCTGGTACAGAAACGCCGCCTGCAAAAGTCGGGATTCATTTCATCAGCACCGTCGCACCACGGTCCTACACCCAGCTACCACGCACAGACAGGTCCTTCCCTCAGGTCCTCCCACCGCCGCCTTGGGGTGCCCCGGCCAGGCACACTGCCCAGGACCCTGCTCCCACGGTCTGGTTGAAGCGAGGCATCTGCCAGCACTGGCTGCTCCCCCAGCCACGAGCAACACAAGGCACCTCTCATTCCCACGGAGCAGAGAGACCAGTCTTTTCCCTCTGAGGGTGACAGAGCACTGGAACAGGCTGCCCACGGCGGGTGTGGGGTCGCCTTCTCCGGAGGTATTCAAGAC